CCTAATACGTTTGCGTGTAAAGCATGAAACAACAGTTCTCTTCCACAGGTGACTGACAAGATCTGTCTGTTTGCATCGATCGTGGAGTATTCTAGTAGCACACAAGAATTTGTGTTAACTTTACAGTGCCTCATTGCATCATCACGAAGCGTCGATTGGCAAGTCACAATATATATGAACATATGAGCATTTGCCATTAATTCCTTGGTACAACACCTGGCATTCCAACACTTATGTTTGTATACGCGTGCACCACCACTACGACTGAAAAAGTTGTTTAACTTTGTTATTGGCATGCACATTCTGGAAAGGCCTGTTCCACCAATCTTGTTAACAGTATGTAACAGCATCATTCCAGATTTCACCTTGCAGCTCATTTTTTCAATTTTCGTATTTTAACATTTCCCCTCTTGTTTAACATTTGCAGCTGTGTGCAGTTGTCGGTACAATAATCGTCTGGTCCGCAAACAAGCTGTACCTATTGTATTCTTCACTAACTAATGAAGACAAAACAACACTAGGGTAAACTACGTGCTGCAGACTCCAACCTGAGATAAGTCCAACGGTTGCAAATTTTGCTCCCACAGTAGATGTTGGCCTACCAGATTTGAAGCTTCCGTTTATACCGTCATCACAAACAACCTAGTGTCAGAAATCATTGAAGATCAAGAACCATACGGTTTTTTACCTTTCTTTGTCCAAAAAATTAATCTGACTGTGCAAAGCAGAACCCAAACTTTGACACCTCTGATGCTTATTAACACATGTTACATTTCTCTAGTTGCTTACCTCCATGGATTACTTTTATCTTTTGGAGAAGTGAAAATGTTTTTGCTGAGGTGTTCAAAGCTTTTTAACAGAGGTTTGGATAAAATCTTAAAAGCATTTCAAAGGAAGGCAATTCAGTTTGACTAAATGAAAGGTAATGACGTGACAAAAGACGTTTCAAAAAGACACAAAATGCTCGTACCAGGTCTATAGTGGTCTACGTTTGAATTTTTAGGAATCATCCGGGCGCTTTCACGCCGCACAATTTAAAAAGCCTACGCCGACACTGATTAAAATGTATAAGAAAGCCTCAACAGAATTGTGCAGATGAATATTATTCCATCATTTTATCATCACCTAAAGGAAAAACGGCCTAGTTGCAGTAATTGTTTCCCACATTTAATTTGATTCGCTATTTGCGCTCTTTGTAATCCATTTTACACTATTTTTTGCTGGTTATTATTTTTCCGAGTATGTATATTAGAGGTTTAAAAACGTATCCAACAGGTGCTTGTGCAATAGCCGCCAGATTGGTGCTAAGCGTGTGTTTATGTTTTTTGTATAATATCATGCCCTTTTACCACCTGTTCCCTCGTGTCGCTGTCCAACGTCACTTTCACTGTCGGCACTTTGCTTCTATGCCTGTTCTCTTCTGGCCCATTCTGGTCCTCCGTTAATGTACCTGTACTTTTCACTGAAATATGTGAGTTGCACGGCCTTCGGCTAACTTTTTTATTTGCTTGTACAAGTTCACTTTTACCGCGAGATGTAAATACCAACTAGACCGTCTAAGAGTCAAAGGGTTGTTAGCGTGCAATAAAAGTTTCTGTGGTCTCACAATATACCACGCAGAATTAATTGTACAAACTTGTATGCATTGCGTTTGTCGCAAATCGGTGAAAACCAAGGGGTCTCGTGAAGAAATTTGGAATGATCAGTGCAAAGCATCTCGAAATATAGTGAACACATGGCGCAAAACCCAACGGAAAAGAGGCTTTGCTGGGGATGTATGCTTATTCTTCACAAATTTAAGAGATAAAACAAGTTGAACACAGAAAAATCCTACATTAAGCAAAACGTTAAAAATCATTCCTATAACAAAATGTACATGGAGGTATCAATCACCAGAAAGAAATTATATTTTTTTGACAATTTGGTAAAGTTCATACCAACAGATCTTTAAAATCGGAGAACGGCACAAACTCGATACCGAAGTATGTTGTAAACTTGAATTTGCTAATATGCAACAGATACAATATATTTTGCCTATTGCGGTCTTAATTCAAAAGAACCGTAACCAAGTCGAGCCTAGCGAACGCTGAAGAATTATCCAGTTGCAGTTTATTTCAACACAGCACAAAATTTGTAGAATACATATTTGAAAGCTTTGCTGCCGCAAAGTAAAACAAATCAATCGTTGTAGAAGCAAAACGGCATTTGTCTGAAAGATTTCTAGTCAAATCATGTTGAGTAAAGCCATCTTTCAAAAACAGAGAGTAGCAAGTAGTGAACCCTAGATTACTTTTCATAGCACACAAGTTTTGGTTTAATTGACCATTAAATCAGTTTGTATCTTAAATATAATGTGCATAACGTAGAGATAAAACAAAAGACAAGAAAAATGAGTTAAAAAGACTGGTTTGGGAAAAGACTACGGTAATATATAAGACAGACAGGCATCTAAATGAAGCCCGTGGCACTGAGCACACTAGGTCAATTTTCGTCCATTGTGTAACTAACAAAATCCGACCGTTACTACAATTTATTCGAATTCTTGCGAAATAGAATGTTCAAAAACATAGGAACGAAAAAGGCCTGCATAATAAATACAGCCATTTTTGAATGATAAAATAAACCTGTATAGTAAAAATGGAGCTTATTTAGGAGCTTTCATGAGCAGCTAGTGTGCAGGGAAGAGCCGTCGACTCCAGAAAAACTCAGAGCAGGAAACGGTTGCAGGGAGAAGTTTGCTAACGCAGCCCTTAATTATTTCTGATCATCTTAACTAGTCGTCTAATGAGATATCTGAGATGACTACCTACAATGCATAATAAATACAGCCATTTTTGAATGATAAAATAAACCTGTATAGTAAAAATGGAGCTTATTTAGGAGCTTTCATGAGCAGCTAGTGTGCAGGGAAGAGCCGTCGACTCCAGAAAAACTCAGAGCAGGAAACGGTTGCAGGGAGAAGTTTGCTAACGCAGCCCTTAATTATTTCTGATCATCTTAACTAGTCGTCTAATGAGATATCTGAGATGACTACAAGTATATATATATATATATATATATATATCGAGCCAATAAATTTTCAGACTCGAAAGGAGAGAAAAATAAGCCCTACGTCACTTTTGGAAATACTTCAGGCCAAAACAAATGTTTCAACTTCCAGTGGTTGTCATAAAAAGAAAAGTTAAAAGATTAGGAATCCAAACAATTGTTTTTGCGTATACTTATCATTAAGCTAACATCACTGAAGAGCACAAACATCTAAGTTTTATAACAAACTCATGTGAAAAAAGTTGCTAGCTCCAAACCTCCAGAACAACATCCGAGGCAAAACACTTATACAAGCGACATGACTTAAAAATACTAAGTAGTCGAATTAGCTGTGTGCCAAAAGATTTATCAAAAAACAAATTTGTTGTTTTTTTAGATAGTTTTGCGCGATATTTTTTGTTGACTTGCGGAATTCCCAATCCTTTTAGCTAGATCCTTACCCTAATGCCGGCGCACCAGGATGATATGCTTGAACTCTTCTGTGAATTTTACAAACAACTTGTAACGTTTATAAACTACAATATGAGCATGCGGTCTGCAAAATGCCAAAGCTCGTGTCTGTTTAAAAAAAACTTATTGCGCAGCCTACTGTATATCTATACGTACGCGTTTTTTACATTTTACGCTGACATCTTTATACGGTTTTTGAAGCACTCAAATAAATGACGGGCATCTGCCAATCAACGCCTAACAGTTTGCTTCCTAAACGCCACCTGGACGAAAGACCCCCTCAATATTCTGCATGCTTTCACCCAGACATATGCTTTTCCTTTCTGAAGGGCTCAGGTCCTCTGTGTCTGTGAAGTATTTTGCACCGTCAAAATCATACATATAAAGATTTGGCACTGTTGCAAAAATTAAGCGCAGTGGTGTGATGAAAAGTCAATTGTCCTCACTAAGACTACCTGTCCCAGGTAGGGAAAAGGCCATATGTTTCTACTTTCAAGCTGTTTAGCTGAAAACTCCAGAACGAATTCAGCCGTGGTCCTTGGTTGAAAGACGTTCTGAAGAGCTCTTCCCGGTGGAGATGGTGTAATGGTTAACTAGGGTTATTGCGATAGCCGCCAGTTTAACAAAAACTTTGCTCAACATCACTTCTTTGAATCCTGGCGTAAAACGTGTACTTTGAATTGAGTACCTTTACTTTGTGTGATTGTCATTGCGCTCTCAAAAGGTGTGCTGCTTTGTTTGTCTATCCCATGTTTTCATGTGTTGTCCATTTGTCTCTCTCAATCATAGATCCAGAAAATTACCGCGTTTAGCGTCGCATGTTTTCACTGTCATTATTTGACTTTTCAGGCAGTCCCAGCTTAGTCGACGACTGTTCGCAAAGTAATCACATTAGAAAGTCTTTCTTCATTCTTATTCGTCTTGTTACCCTTGACATTGTGCTTAAGTTTTCTTACCAGTCGTCTTCTAAGACTAAATTGACCTAGCTACAGAAACCGCTCCGACCGCACTTAGAAATGACACCAAGAGTTAATATAATGCGTCAAGGAAACCGTATGCATGTACGTACCCGCTCTTTGTATCCATGCAGTCACCCAAATTTATTCAAGCCCGAGATGGACAGAGGTCTTTGGAAAATGGTTCGTGTTCCAGGTTATTTTTCGGCCATGTTGAGTCCTTTTATGAATCAGAACGGTGATCTACACTCCCCCGTGGCTGTTAAGCGGTCGGTTGTGTCTTCTTTTGAACATTTCCTAATCACACAACGTTGTTCCACTCTCTCCATCCGACCAAAGCCTAACTCTCAAAATATATGTTCCTTTTTCTCGATCTGGCCTATACCATAAGGTACTAAAATATACCTAAAGATGAATTTACTTTATTTGGTTACTTACTGCTTTCCGATAAATTTAAATGGCGATGAATAAAGATATTCTGGCGTCAATCAAAAACACGCCGGGGAAAAACGTGCACTAATATTAATAGCCCTTAATTGAACATACCTTTAAGTCTCTATGAACGACGCCTCTGCTGTGCATGTATTCTGTAGCAAGTAGAACTTGTTTTATCAAAGAACTGGCATCTCGTTCTGTGTAACTCCCCTTCTGAACGATTCTATCGAACAGCTCACCACCTGTAACCCTTAAAGTTTTCAAATGATCACTTTTTACAGCAAAACGTTACAGCTCCATTACAAGATAATAGCATTCGTCGTCCTCCAATACTTCAATGAGTTGCACAATGTTCGGATGCTGCAGCCTACAACGAGAAATGTGCATTTGTCTAATACGCTTACCTCCTGAGAACCTCTATTTCATTTTCCAAAGCCTCCTTCCGAGACAAAGCCTCTTTTGTTGCATCTCCTGTAGACTGATTATTCGAAAGAAACTTCTTCCGGATGCATTTGATGGCAACAAATAAGCCTGGATTTTTCCGATTTTCCGCTAATCTTACTTCAGAAAACGCACCACTTAAGGATATGCATTTAAATACTTTTGGAAACTTACGTTCCTAATACTTCTTTAAACTCATAATGAGCTACTGTGCGACCAGTCGTCATAAGCAAACATGGACTATAATTTAGAGTCTCTGAGATTTATCTCATTATTTAGATTCGTGCCGAAATAAAGTACAGGTTTTTCGAAGCGTTCAAAGGATATCGGACCATTCAGTTCATCTGCTGCCTGCGTACTGTTATGAGAATGGCGAGACACATGGTCTTCATGTGTGATAGTGCATTACTTTTTATCGGGTATTCGTTGTTTTTTCAACGATCCAGGATTTGGCGGTCAATTTCAGTAGTTTCCATGGGAAGCCCAGTCATTCCATGATAGCTTCGGTTAGTTGGTGTATTTGTTAAGTGGAAAACCAAAGGTTCGTGAACTCGGTTCGTCAGGTCATCAAATCTCGTCGCCCGCTCGGGTTTCGTGACCGGAAAAAAGGATGAAGAAAGTGGGATCTACCACTGTTGGACTTGCGTCCATTTTTCCTAACTTGCATGGTGATAGCATCGTTTTTCACGCGGATTCGATAGAGTATGACTCGGAGGGCGGTGAGAAAGATATTACAACGAGTTTAAGTTATGTTGTTGCAAGCCATATCCCAGGACGAGTTCCAAGTGACCCCCACGCCCGGTCGGATACACCAAAAGAGATGAAAGTAAATGGATACCAGTGACGCCCGTGATCTGATTTTTTTCGAGATTGTCCGAATAAAACTTGGGGGAATCAGATGTCCAGCAGTACGTCCGATGGGTCAGCACCATGCCACTCCCGTCCACACCGAACTTTTATTTCCTCTTTAGAGCATTTAAGTATGGTTGATTTAAATTTGTGCTTGTGTAGCAGCAAAGCACCAATAGCGCCACTAATGTAGTCACCTCTGGCGACGTGCAACCTCTCTCCCACTGTCACGAGGAGACTGGAAATTACTGTGGTGTGACGGCTTGCGCACCTCGGCGATCCACTGAGCCATACTCTGGAGGGTCCCCGTGGCACTCAGAGTCTATCATACCAGGTTAGTCAATGATTAGATGTCTGACGAACAGTCTCTTGGCCCTCCAGATTGGGAGTTGGAACATAAGGCGACTTGTTCCGTGGAAATTGTAATGCATTTGCATTTCCTGCCGAACATCACTGCCTTGCGCTTGGGATTTTAAGCCAGAGGCTTTGGCTGGGGACCCTAGAATATCACACCTCCGGCACAACCATGACATTCACAACTAACAATGTTCCTATGCCGCATTACCCGTCACGCGGTGCCATCAGCCGGGTCGACTTACTCGCTGCATACAGAAGGGCGAGTAACCGATAAATCGGCTACTATTTACGCCTTACCACTTTCTCTCTCATAATTTTTCCTCCTCCTCTCCCCACTCCATTAATAAGTCTCTCCTTGTGGACCCAACACGTAGGACTGATGACTCCGTTCGTCATACATCGGTTTTGTGTTCAGCACCTGCCCGTCACATGGCGCTAACATACTCAGGTATCTCCAATTTACACTTCAAGTCTCAACGCCCAGTTTGTCTGGCCGCGTTCAATGTCCGCACTCTGAAGCAAGCAGGACAACCGTCTGCCCTTGCACTCACGTTGAACAAGAATTCAAGATGCAGCACATTGACTGAGCTAATCGCCACATCATTCTCCACTGGCTTCCGGCTACGCACCTCTGGTGATCCAGAAACCGCTGCGGCGGAATGTGCAGTGGTTAGTGTCGTCCTACGTCACCAAGCGGAATTATCCTTGCTTGACTGAATACCTGTTGATAGTCGCATCTCTGTGATTCGCCTGGCAACGTCTGCGAAGAAGTCTCACGAGCGCAAGTTGGTAGATGCCTGTTTATCGTGTCTGCCCAAGCCCTAACTCTACTGTAGCTCCGACATTGTCAGAGACGCCCTGAATACCCTGTTGCGGCCAGCTGAAAGCCCAGACATCGTGGTGGCTGCAGGAGATATGAATGCACGGGTGGACAGGGTTACTGTATCTGAGACTCAGTTAGGGGGTTGATATGGATTGTACTCGGTACGTACGGGAAACGGAAAGCGATTGCTTAAGCTGTGTGCTGATTGCAGGCTGTTTTTATGCAGAACTATCTTTCGAAATTGCACCACATGGTGTTCTCCAACTGCAGGCCAGCCACAAGCGCAAATCGATCGTATTGACATGAGTTGCGATGACGCAGAGCATTAAACTGACTGCCGGTCGTTTTGGAACATATTTGTGGACTCTGACAACGAGCTTGTCCGGAGTCCCTTCCGCATACGTTTACCAGGACCGCGTAAGGTGCGAACAGACCGCTTGGAAACTGAGAGACCGGCAGATCCGGATGTTAGACGAACTTACAAATATCATCTTCTAGAGCCCCTTTCAAATGCTTCACCATCAGATGTGGACTCATACTGGGATGAGATTGCCCCCGGCTTTCACAGTGCTGCAAATTTTGCCTGTGGCATGGCCCAACCAGACGCACGCAAGCACTTGGTATCAGACCGAACGGTGGCACGGAGAAATATCCCAGCCAGTCTCGAACATAACTTGCGCAACGAATTATCAGACGTCAAGTAAAGGGCGCGTGCAAGCCGACCATGAAGTACGGTGGACATGAAAAGCCAAAGAAATTGAAGAGGCCCAGAATGCCGGTAATGCCCAAAGATCAGTTCAGTTGACTCGTGCGATCGGCCCCCGGAAACAGCCCGTGAGTAGACGCACCAAGCATCAGAATGAAACGACCATCCACAACAAAGAACGCCTCAATCGGTTTGTTGGATTACTTCGAACAACAATTATCGTGGCCACAAGCTGGCACTCATCTGGAGCCCAAAAGTGAATTAAAACCCGTGGTGAACGTGACACTGCCCACAGCCTCGTAGGTTTAAGACCGCGTGTGTTCTCTCAAGGGCCATTATGCTCCCGGTCCGGTTGACATCCTACCCGCACCATTCAGAGACGGAAGTGAAGTCCTCAGTCAACGATTGTCTGATATGTTTGCTTGCATTTGCGAAAAGAAGTCTGTCCCAGGCAACTGAGGAGAGTCGGTGACAGCACTCATTTTCCAAAAGTAGTGCGTAATGAGTGTGGTATCCGTAAGGGGATCAGCTTGACTCCGGTCGTGACGAGACTGTTAGAGTCACTTTTACTCCCTTGCCTTACGGTGGCCCTTGAGATACTGAATCGAGAGCTGCCTGGTAAGGGTTGCATTGACCAAATCTTCATAGTTCTAGAAAACCGCCACACGTATGAGCGACCCATAAATCTGGTATTCCAGAATTCTCAATAGGCATTCGACTCGGTTTATCGGTCTGTTTTTCTTGACGCGCTTGCTCACCAAGGAATGCCCGGAAACTTGTAAACATAATAGGTTCTTTGTATCCTCAGTATTCCGGGCGCATGGGAGTGTACGGAGAGCCCTCCAAAAGCTTCCGTACACAAAGCGGTTTCAGTCCGGGGTGCCCAGTGTCTCCATGTTTTAACCCCGTGATCGATAAAATAATACGTTGAACACTAGAGGGTCCCCAAAACCCTGATTTAGCGTTATGCTATTGAAGCTGACATCTTAAACCGCTCAAACCTCCTGTTCTGGGCCGGATCCTAATGAACTCAATTATACTCGCTTGTGCTTAGTTATACTACCATACCCATGTCACTTATTCCAACACGTATTTGTGCTCAGACACCAAAGATATTTTCCCGCCTGGTGACTTCAGCAATTTTACACGGCGCTCGTTCCTCAAAAAAATCTGGCAGTTACCATCGTGAGAAGAGGGGGAAATATATACTTTAAATCATACCCGTGACCAGCAGGGTCTTACGGCTTTGCTCCCACGTCTGACATCCTAGTATTCGTTTGTACGGGTTTCTCGATATGAACCGTTGGATGAAACGTGAACCAACACATCTTCCCTGTTTTCACCAGGAATCCGGCATCTCAACGTTTTGCGTAGTAAAGAGGTTTTCAATTTCTTCCCTGTGTCAGATCACGCATCCGAATGGCGAACAAGTAGATTGGCTTAACCCAGGCTATTTTGACGTCATCGATAAAGGGCCAATCCAAACTGTTGCCAAATTTTTTCTCACTGAGAAATTCAAGGTTAAATTCAGTTTACTTTATCTTTGGCGGTTCTTCTAGACAGCTGCTTAATGTAGCAACACCTAAAATTGGTTGAGACGCATGCATCCCATGGGAACTCATGGTTGAAGGGAAAGCCCAGGTTTTAGGGCTGCGGGTCGATACTCGTTGCCAGATATAAAAGAAAAAGTAAGTTGCAAAGCACACTCGTGGCTGCATCGCGCACAAAAAATAGGAACGAGTATGCAGCTGGTAGGGGTACCTAAATATTGACACACACCGATACACCGAAAGCCCTTGATCTCACCTACTGACAGCAACCCATCATTACTTCAGGCAAATATAACACAGATAAAAACTGGCCACTTTTCTACCTACGACCCCGAAAAAATATAACGGTGGGTTTTTATATTTAAATGCGCACCGTTTCCTTCTAACAAAAAAGATAGCAGAATAACCATGAAGTTCATACAGGGAATGCATGGTTGATGGAAGATGACACGCGAGAGAACAAAAATAATAGACAAACTCCCGGGAGAAATTTTCAGATTCGTGGATGAGCCCG